CGGCTTGCCTCCGTGAGCCGTGTCGGGGGGGCGCAGTGGGCGGCGCGCCGGGGCTTCCGAGGGCGCGCTGCGGGCCTCTGTGGGCTGGGGCCTCTATGGGCTTATGTCGGGGGCCTGGGTGGGCAGCGCGCTAGTGCCTCTGTGGGCGCGCTTGGGGCCTCTTTGGGCTGGGGCCTGTGGGCGCGCTTGACGCTTCTGTGGGCTGCGTTGGGCGGCCTCGGTGGGCGGCGCGCGGGGGCCTCCGCGGGCGCGCTCGGGGCCTCTGTGGGCCGGGGCCTCTGCGGGCGCACTGGGGCCTCTGCGGGCTGCGTCGGGGGGCCTCAGTAGGCAGCGCACTGGGGCCTCTGTCGGCGCGTTTGGGGCATCTGCGGGCATCGTCGGGGGCCTCCGGGCGGCGTGCCGGGGCCCCTGCTGGCGCGCTTGAAGCCGGTGTGGGCTGTGCCGGAGGGCCTGCGGGCAGCGTGCCGCGGCGTCTGCAGGCTGGATTTGGGTTTCTGCGGGTTGCGTTGGGGGCCTCAGCGGGCGGCGCGCCCAGGCCTCTGCGGGCCCGCTCGGGGCCCCCGTGGGCCGGGGCCTCCGCGGGCGCGCTTGGGGCTTGCGTGGGCTGCGCTGGGGCGGCCTCAGTGGGCAGCGCGCAGGGGCCTCGTTGGGCGGGCTATGTCCGAGGGCCTCAGTAGGCGGCGTGCTGGGGCCCCTGTGGGTGCGCTTGGAGATTTTGTTGGCTGCGTCCGAAGGCCCCAGTGAGCAGCGTGCTGGGGCCCCTGTGGCTCGCGGGCCTCTCTGCGAGCAAATTGCGAGGGCGTGCCGAGCGGGGGCCCCTGTCGTCGCAGGTGAGCCTCAGGCGCCGCTACTGACATGCAGTTTCTGGCCAGGGGGTCGCGAAGTACAGCTCGAGGAAGCGTCGACCGGCGGCTCTTGTCGTCGCGGCTGGGCCGCCGACTTGATTAAATTACGAGAGCGTCTCGATCGAGAGCGCCGCGCTTGAGTTCACGGGCCCCTCCTGCCAGGGCTCGCGGAGTACGTCTTGAGAAGTGCCGGCCGGGCACCCTTGTCGCCGCGTCTTGGCCCCCATCAACTTGCCTGAATGACGAGAAAGTCTCGAGCGAGAGCGCCGTTCGTGAGTTCGGGGGCCTCCCTGTCCAGGCTCTCGGAGCAAATCGCGAGGAAATATCGAGCGGGGGCCTTTGTCGCTGCGGTTGGGCCTCCGCCAACTTGATTGAATTACGCGGAAGTTTCAAGCGAGAGCGCCGCTCCTGAGTTCGAGGGCCTCTCTGGTTAGGGTGTCTCGGGGTATACTGCAAGGAACTATCGAGCGGGGGCGTTTGTCGCCGCGGCTGGGTCGCCTCCAACTAGGTTGGGACGCGAGTGAATATCAAGCGAGCGCGCCGCCCCTGAGTTCGGGGCCCTCTCTGGCCAGGGCGCCTCGGGGCAACTTGCGAGGATGCACAGGCGGGGGCCGCTGCGGTTGGAACCGCGCCTGCAACGACGCAGATTTACAATCAAACCAGCGCTCGAGCGGGAGTTTCGGCGTCAGAGAACACGCAGCCGGCGTCGAGGCGAGAGCGCGCGGAACCGTTTCCGGAGTTTTGCAGTTTATATATATATATATATATATATATAGAGAGAGAGAGAGAGAGAGAGAGAGAGAGAGAAAGAAAGAGAGAGCGAGAGAGAGAAATGAGTAGCCCACAAAAGCAGCAGCGGCAACAACAACAATCATTTTAATACCGTTCGCGCCTATCTGTTCACGTGCCAATCATTACGTATATCCCAAACCCTCGGCGCTTGCCCTCGTCGTCTTCGATCGCGCTCCCCTGGGGGCATATCTCCCTTACCTGCCACGTGCATTTTGCGCAGCCCCCAAAACAAGGGAAGAGAGGGCGGGCGGAAGGGGGGAGGAGAATAATGGAACACGAGAGAAAGTAGCAGGAGAGGGCCAAGGAGCAGAAAACATGTAGCAGAACCAGACGGGCAGATCGGGCGGGCAGACCCATAGCGGGCAGGTCGGGAGATTTGGCCCTGGCGACGAGGTCGAGCAGGCGGGTTGCTGAAGCGCGGGCCCTGCATGCATCGCGAGGATGTCTCGTGCGATAGCGCGATTCCCAAGTACAACGTCAAACAAACCAAGCGGGAGCGAGATTCTTGAGCGCCAAGGGCGCATCGTCTGAATGAATAAATTGCGAGGGGGCCCACGCGAGAGCGCGATGTGTACATGAATTTTGAGGAAGTCCCGCGCGAGAGCGCGATTTGGGAATAAGTGGTGATGAAGTATCAGGCGGGAACCGTTGTTGAGTTTTCGTTTTTGAAAATGCTTATTGTTGATCCCCACCGCCGGTGCATATCGCTTTTCAGTTGAAGTGCCCCTTCGGCGGTCGCACCCTGTTTTTTATTGGGAAAGTCTTGAGGCTCAAACTGGGCCCTTGGCCCCCGGATTACAACAACCGCTCCCGCTCGAGACTTCTTTGCAATTTAGTCAGGACCCCCGTTCCCGCCTGAGACTTCCTCGCGTTTGATTCAGGAATCGCGCTTTCGTTTGGGATTTCCATGCAATGTATGCAGGAATCGCTCCCTCGGCGCTCTGGAGTCGCGCTCTCGCTGGAGACGCGCTTGCAATCTACTCAAGAATAGCGCCCTTGCGTTGGGATTTCTTGCGATTAATTCAAGCGCCGCGCTCCCGACACTCAGGCGCTCAGGAGTCGCGCTCACGCCGATGACTCCCTCACACATTTTTTTTTGAAATCGGGTGCAGCCCTTCGTTGCCCCCTCGCTGCGTTTCGTGGCCCCGTTGCAGCCTTGCTTGGCCCCTTCGCTGCCCTTCGTGGCCCCGTTGCAGCCCTTCGTGGCCCCCTCGCTACCCTTCGTGGTCCCATTGCAGCCCTTCGTGGCCCCCTCGCTGCCCTTCGCGGCCCCGTTGCAGCCCTTCGTGGCCCCCTCGCTACCCTTCGTGGCCCCATTGCAGCCCTTCGTGGCCCCCTCGCTGCCCTTCGCGGCCCCGTTGCAGCCCTTCGTGGCCCCCTCGCTGCGCATCGTGGCCCCGTTGCAGCCCTGCGTGGCCTCCTTGCTGCCCGTCCTCGTGGCCCCCTCGCTGCCCTTCGCGGCCCCGTTGCAGCCGTTCGTGGCCCCCTCGCTACCCTTCGCGCCCCCGTTGCAGCCCTTCGTGGCCCCCTTGCTGCCCTTCGTGGTCCCAACTATGTATGTCCTTCGTGGCCCCCGCTCGTCCGCGCCCGTCGTGGCCCCATATGCATGCATTTCGTGGCCCCGCTGTCGCCCTTCGCGGCCCCCTCGCTGCCCTTCGTGGCCCCGTTGCTGCCCTCAGTGGCCCAGTCCTTGCATTCCGCGGCCCAATATACGTATGCCCTTCGTGGCCCCTGTTCGTTCGCGCCTGTCGTGGCGTGGCCCCGCCGTTGCCCTTAGTGGCCCCCTCGCTGTCCTACGTAGCCCCGTTGCTGCCCTCAGTGGCCCAGTCGTTGCCTTCCGTGGCCCTATTATCTGCCCTTCGTGGCCCCCGCTCGTTCGCGCTCTTCGTGGCCCCATGCGCATTAACTTCGTGTCCCCGCTGTCGCCCTTCGTGGCCTACTTCGTGCCTTTCGTGGCCCTGCTGTCGTTCTCGCTCTCGCTTTCGCTCGTCGTCGTCGTCGTCGACGACGTCGTCGTCGTCGTCGTGGTCGGCCCCCTGTCCGTCCCCCTTGGGGTCGGGCTGCCGCCGATCAGCGCTGCCGCTGGCCATGCCGACGGTCCGTGACCGCCCCGCCGCTTGCCTGGGCCCGGCCTGCAGGGAAAACAGTTATACCCCCCAAAAGGGGTACGATCGAAGACGGAGAGGGCGGGTATCGAGGATTTGGGAACTACGCGTCAACGGACACTCGAGCAGATAAGAGCGAACAGTCTTACCATGATTGCTGTTGTTGTTGTAAACCAGGGGCCAGGGGCCCAGTTTGAGCCCCGTGACGTTCCGTGATCAAAAAAACAAGGTGTTAACCTCGGGGGAAGCTTTCAATTGACAAAACACAATGGTCACCAGAGGGGGATCAGCAATAGTTATTCTTCAGTAGTGAGAGCTCAAGAACAACAACGACGACAACAACAACAATTCGCATCGCGGAGTCCCACTTCAGCCACGCACCCAGTGACGATAAATGACCGTTCGGCTCCCTCACTGTGATGTATATATATATAAATATATATGAGATTACACATATCGGCCCAGAGGCCCCCAAGATCGCCCTGAGACCGCGCCCCCCCACCGATGCGATCCAAGCAAGATCTTGTGGACTCGCAGAGCCGCGGCGGCACCCCGCCGCGAGTCCAGTGCCATGTCTCAGAGCACATCTTCTTGGGGGCTGCCCGGATGCCAAATTTGCCCGGTCGCAGCCGCAGGTTTTGGCACGATGCAGGTTTTCGGGCCATCGGCGGCGATATTGTTCAGTTGCTCGCCATTTTTTTTTTTCGCATTTCGCATTTCGCATCTCGACAGCGTCTGGGGTGCGCGCGCCGGCGCCCGGCCGCTGGCGCCAGCGCCCGGCCCCCAGTCGCTGCGACTCAGAACTGCCCGGCGAATGCAGATCTGGGCCCGGCAGCCGACGACGGATAGGCGGTGGTGTTACACACCCCTTCCCTCCCCTGCTGGCACAACATGAATGAGGCGAGCGCGGCGGGAGGACGCCGCCCGAAAAACCGCCGCTCTCCCCGGAGAACCGGGCAGCGCCGCACGCCAGGGTTCCGGGCCGCGTCTAGGTTACACTAGCTGCGGTCAAGGGCTCGTCAGTGCATCCCCCTCTCCACACCCCGAGGCACAGCACCGCTCCCCCAAGCACAGCCTGGTAAAGCGACGCAGCGGCCGGGGAGGCGACGGGCATACCCAACCACAGTCACACTCGGGAAAAGGGGCAAGTATACAAATACCCGAGAAGCAAGTGCTCAGAGGAGGCGAGAGACGAGGAGGAAGAAGAGGGGAGGGCAAAAAACACACCGACTGGGACGCAAGAGGATAGCAATCAATATCATGACGACGCCGCCTGCGCGCCACGAGCGTGACAACGTCCGCATGCCGAGGCGCCCGAAGGCCATCGCATTAAGAGGTACACGTGCGAACCCCGCCTCAAAGGGCAAAGCTGCAAGACTAACATTCAACCGGAGGAGGACGAGGAGGAGGAGGAGGAAGAGGAGGAAGACGAGGAAGAAAACAGCGGCGCAGAACGCCGAATGACCTTCCCGACAAAAGAAATATGCTCGATGAAGCTGCTGGGGCTGGTGTGGTCCCCGAACAGCAGCTGGAGTATCAGGTCGGGTGGGACGTCGCCTGGGAACAAGTCCCGGCGGTCGCTGGCGTAAAAGGGGCACGAGACCAGGGCGTGTCGCAGAGAAGCGTTCCGGCGCCCACAGGCTCTGCACCGTCGCAAGGAGGCGGGGTGCTCCCTGCCGCCTAACACCGACAGAGGCCACCTGCCAGTCATCCGCGCCACTGCCCATAAGCGAAAATGAATCCAGAAGGCAGGGCCGGGCTCGCTGGCCAGGAGAGTTGGATCGAGCGGCGATGGGAAAGAGCAAAGAGCGGCAAAAGAACGGCGAAAAGGTGCCAGGACCTGCACGGCCGCTTTCGCGAAAGCTTCGCGGTCATACTTCAAAAGTGTCGGACGTAGGACTTCAGTGCGGTACGTTCTGAGCACATCCCTGCGAGAATTCGGAGACGTCCGTGCCTCTTGGAGCAGCGCTGGAGGGAAGAGAGCGTGACCGTCCAGGTCCGGAGGAGAGGGGCCAAGGCGCCGGGCTAAGGCAACAACAGCAGACTCCCACGTGGGCGTAGCCAAGGAATGGGCCGCCCGCAGCATCACGGCCCCTGGGTGGTCCACCGGGAGGACCATGAGACGCGCCCTTGCCATGAGCGCTTTCTCTAAGAATTTCGTCCCTAAGCGCATGGGCCAGCCACATTGGGCGACAACTACCGCGTGCCGGATTGGGGGCCCGTGGTGGCACCCCAACAGCCGCCGGCCCCAGTTCACTTGCATCTTATTGAGGGCCGCTTCAGCCCCCGGCGTGGCCGCCAAAAGCGGGCAGGCATAAAGAATCACGGATTCTACCCGCGCTGGGACCTGCGCCGCTGCCACCGGGATGGAAAAGCCACCGGATTCCGCAGCGTAGAGCAGCTTAGAAAAGCAACTGTAGCCAATGGCTAGGATCTCTTTGAGAAGCGGCGCGAACGTCAAGTCCGAGTCCACCAAGATGCCCAACAGGACTTTGCGTTCCACGGAAGGGCAATCGGCCAGCCTGGGGCGGCTTGCGCCGAGGACTGGGAGCACGCAAGTTTTGTTTTTCTCACGCGAGAAAAAAGACTTGAACCTGCGAGCGTACCGGCTGCACGCGGAGGACTCCTCCGGGGAGATCACTGCCCTCACGGCTCCTACAGATGGGCACGCGGCCGTGAGGTCGTCGACAAATTGTGCCGGCGGCATGTGGCAGGAGCCCGCGGCCTCAACTACGGCGGCTCTGTCCGCGACGGCCGGCAGGGAACGAAGCGAAGCAGCAAGTGTTTCCTCGGAGTTGGGCCAGGGCGGAAGCTCGGTGGCTGCCGCGCGCGCCACCTCGTTCAAAATGGCCACCACGGGCAACGCCCGGTCAGGCATCGCCTCCACGTCTGTTGGAGGGGAGACCACGCATGCAGATTGCAAGGCACGCCTGGCTAGGGGCGGGACCACGGTGGCGCAACCTCCTGGCACAGCGGCAGCGATTTCATCCGGCAACGCTTTCAGCTGCGCGTTACAAATGTGCACTGAAAAACGCCTGCCCTGGGCCGTGCCGCACCCAAGGGCGAAAACCGGCGACAGCAGGTTATGGAGGCCCACGGCCTGGTGATCTTGTGCCAGAATGTCATCCAGCATCAACCAATCGGCCCCCCGCACGCCCGCGTGGAAAGCACCGCACAACATGCCGTTCACCGAAGCAACATCAAAAGCCCACTTGTTGTCTGCGACGGCCAACCATGTGGGCAGATTCTGTGAATGCCGCAACTGAGCATGCATTGTGAGTGCGATCACAAGGGAGACCGGATCGCCGACCCCCCCCTGTTGGGCGGGTCCGCAATAGGCCTCAATCTTGGCCCCGTTCCGCGCGATCCACGCAGCGTCCTGAACCGAAGCCATGTCCGATGTGAAGGATATTGGACGAAGCGCAGACACTTTCCTCACCGACGCCGGCCCAGACTTCCGGATGGGAGCAAAGTGCCGAAGTGACCACAGGCGAGCCGTGACGCACAGCGCGCGGCCGAGGTTTAGCAAGGCCCGCGTCAAACGGAAACCCTCCTCAACCTTGGCCCGCAACGCTGCGTTACAAAGGTGGACCGTGCGCTTCCCTGGCTTGAGCAGGGACAGCGCTGTTTCAACCTCTACGACGGTATACGGATTCTGTGGGCACGTAAGCCCCGCGCCCGCTCCGGACTGCCTGATAGCGGTCACAGTCTGCGCCAGGTCGTCCCGATCACTAAGATTCTGTGGAAAATCATTATGGGCTCTAGCAAAAAGATCGCCGCGAATGAGGTCGATCATGCCCTCAGTGGATAGGGCGTGCCCCGTGTCAGGGTCCACAAGCTGGATATTAAATGTCGAAGACGATTTAAAAAAGCCTGACAAGAAGCGTTCGGCCGCGCCCGCGTTGACCTCACGAAGGTCAAGGTAACGGTGGACAGCCTTGCGCCGTTCGCGCCACGCTGCCGCAGTTGCCGCCTCCCTGAAGGCCGAGTGGGTCGGGAAAGCAGACGGATCGAGGAAGACGCGCTGGGGCGCGCATCGAACTTTATTTGGCAAGCCCACCACCCGTGTGGCAGAGGAAGCGTGCCCCACTAAGGCGTAGATTGCATCACGAGACCATGCCGCCACGTTGAGGATAACGCGACGCTGGAGTCGAGTCGCCCCGCCTCCGTACCAGGGCGGACGAAGCCATGGGGAGGTCTCAACGGCCTCGACTGCAATTGCGAGCGCGCGGAGCGTGCTGGCAACCTCGCGGAGGCCAGCCTCCCATTCCTCGCCAGAAGTCCAAGCAACTCGTCCGAACCCTGCCGAACACTGTGCGGCAATCCGACAGGGGACGTCGACGAGGACAAGTTTATGGTCAGACAGTCCGACGAATTCGTTGACAACACTCACATGGAGCGGGTCACCCCGGGGGCCGAGAAACAAATCTATACAAGTGCCTGAAACATGCGTAGGAACTGGCGGGTTATATGCCCGCAGCCCGGCTACATCTAACCACGCCTCAATGTCTTTATCATTGGCGCGTTGACGACAGTGCAAGCAACGACAATGAGCGCCGTGAGCGACGGTTGCATGTTTAGAACGAGTTGTTCCTTGCGCTTACGCATTCAGGTAGGCGCGCCAGGTGAGAGGCACGAGGCCCTGTAGGTCAACCCGTGCTTCGCAGCACGGTGGCGCATGTAGGAGCTGGACCTTGTATCCGTTGCCTTTAGATCAGGTAGGAATCCCTGCCTCAGAGATCTACGCTACCGAGTTGCGCTCCGTCGCCTTACAATTGTATGGAGGGACGGGGGGTGGGCTTGGCAGAGAGATCCGATCCGGCGGAGGATTGGTGGTGGGGGAGTAGACGAGTAGACGGCATTCATGCGAGCGGTTGGTTGTTTCCTTTGCAACCCGTCGTGGACCGAGCACCTTGATGTCGTGGCGCATGTCCCCGCGCAGCGGCGCCCGAGACGAACGGCGGCGAGTGTAGCCATTCTCTTCGGTCCGCGGCCATATTCCCTGCCGCGGTGGTGAACCCTTGAGGCGAACCCTTGAGGCACGTGGCCACCAGGGCGGACCATGGACTTTGAGAAACCTTAGATGGTTTGCGTGAGGACGTTTTGTTTGCCATCATTCTTGATATCCGACCCATCGCATGGGGAAGGTATGGAGGAGGTGAGGAAAAGGATGATGTTGAAGGGAAGACTGCATTCATGCGAGCGTTCGGTGGCTTCCTCTCTTCGGGCCGCCCCCATATTCTCTGCCGTCGGCACCTCTCAGTTGATTGCGGATATGGAAGGCCACTTCTTTCTGCCACAAGTCGTGGCGCACGAGGCGTAGATGGGGGAGATGTGGATGAGGGTGGAACAGAGAGGATGGAGGATGGAGGTCGGCCGCAACAGACATATCAGCTGAATTGCGCATGGGAGACCATTTCTTTCTGCCACCGGCCGTGGTGGTTGAGGCGTGGAGGGGGAGTCTGGGGGTGATGACGGCATTGAGGAGGAGGAGGTGGAAGTGGACCGTACACCTTGATGTCGCGGTGCGTGCTCGAGCGCAGCGGCGCCCGAGACGATTAGAGGCTGAACGTAGCCCCGCTTCTCGGTCCGCTCCGCATCAATTTTCCTGGCACGTGAGGCAAGTGGCCACCAAGGCAGACTATGGAGTCGGCATCTCTCAGGGGAGATGGAGGAAGGGGGAGTAGACGGCATTCGTTGCGAGCGGTCGGTCGTTTCCTCTGCAACCCGTTGTGGACCGAGCGCTTGGAGTTTTGGTGCACGTTCCAGCGCAGCGGCGCCAGAGATAAACATGTATGAGAGGCTGTTTCTTTCAGCCATCAGTTTTGGTATCTGCAACGTGTTGTGCACCGATCACCTTGATGTTGCAGTGCAAGTTCTGATGGCCGCCAGGAGCTATACTGAACAAGTCAATCGGCTGTGGCACGTGTCCCGACCATTTTCGGAGGAGGGCGAGGCTCGGAGGGCATTGGGTGGTGGTAGATGGTCGAGGAGGAAGACGTGCGAGTCGACCGCCCAGAGTGTTTTGACCGCAAGAGCTATGCTCACCGAGTTTCTGAGCAGCACCTCAGTAAAACAATAATTGTACCGTGCCTTTGACGGCCTCAGGCCAGCCAGTACCGTCTGAGCCAGCATTCCACGGCAAAAAGCCGCGTGCTTCACAGTGCCACTCAGGCAAGCCAGACGATTTGGCCAGCCTGACGCTGGGGAGGGTAGGCTTTCGAAATAAGCAGGAAGAGGAGTGCGAAGGAGAGGGACTTCACCGCATGGCTGGCAAATACTTTGTGCGCTTGAGGGAGAACGGTTTTTTCCACCTCTTCACGCCTCTTTGTATGCCGCTGCGCCTGCTAGGCGTAATGTTAGTCCTTGAGGCATCGCATTTTTCTGCACGACGCAACAAGCTCAGCTCTTCATGTTTGGCCAATGTCAAAAGCAGGAGGACGACGACGAGGAAAACGATGAGCAGGGCCACAGTAACCCTATATGCGTCAACGACACTGCAACGCACCCTCCCGTCCCGAGTCCCCGCGCTAGTCCTTTCAACCATCTTGTGCTCACTGCGCGAAGTGCCCCCTTGAAGACAAACGCCTGATCGGCCGGCAAGTTTTGGCGAGAGCTGCGTTTTGGAAGAGATTGCTCTCCATTCCTGGAAGTATAAAGAAGTCGACAAGGTCAGTTCATAAAGTTCACGTAAGCGCCCCGCGTTGAAAAGGAGCCGCCCTCAATCCGTGCAGCTGCTGCATCATGTGAAGTGTTTGGTCATAGAATTGACCGGCATCGCAAGCGGGAGTCCCATGTAGAAGATGAATCGCCGCCCCCCCCCGTGTACATGCTACGCCATGTCGTATTTCTGGTAAGTTTGAATTTCAACCCGCCGCCGTGCCTGCATTATGGGCCATCAGCTTTTCGGGGTCAAAGCGACGGACGCCTGCTGGGGTCTTTAAGGATGGACCCAAAGGGAAGGGGTTTCTTGTTTACTCGAATGCGACGTGGTTCGATTTACTTCTAGAGAGTTTGAGGAGGATGACCCGGACACATTCGGGGGAGCGACAACAACAAACGCGGACAGCGACGCATTCGACGCCTCAAAAGGGAAAGCCTCTCACACACGACGACAGGGTCGGCGGATGGTTCTAGGGTAGGGTGAGGGATCGAGGAGAACTCCGCCGCCACCCGCTCCGAGGCTGTCCCGAGCTTCCGGCTCTTCGAGCTCAAGGGGCGCGCGGGCGTCGTGGACGCTTGCCTCGTCGAGCGCGCGAGGCACCTCGAGGACCGGCACGAATAAAGTGGGTTCAGAAAGAATGGGAACGAAGAGCGCAGCAGTTCCTGCTCATTTTGAGCAGGACTCTTTGTCGGTGTCGCCGCGGACGTTGTCCGTTTGAGACAGGAGGCCGCCTGGCCAACAGTGGCCGCTGTCGGTTTTGGACAACAGCTGTTGTTGGGTTTCGTGGACATTTTTTCCGTACCCATCCTGGGCGTCTCGCAAGGACCCTTTCTCGACCAGCACGGCCGAGGCGGTGGCCGTGCTGGGTGCGCGCCCCTTCGTGTCGCTGCACCGCGTGCCGGCCACCACGAGCGGCGAACTAATCGATGCGGTGATCCTCAGTACCCCCTCGCGTCGTGACAAAAATACAGCAGTCCTGGAGATTTCTGGCCGTTTGCGGCGTTGCGGGGCCCTTACCAGACCCTTGGACCGCCAAAAAACTGAAGATGAAAAGCGGGTCCAGGGGAAGATGCCGAGACCTCCAGGCCTTCAGTTTTGTAAGAAGCGCAATGTCGGGGTCTGGGTCCTCCTGATCGACAGGCTCTGTTCCTCCTGTGCATCCTCCTCCTTTCCCTCCCCCCCCGTTCGATGACCCTCAGGACGCGTGTTAGCCCAACGTGTGATTATTAATTTCGCTCAGCGCCGCCGATGAAATGCAGCCTCGTCGGCCCCCGTTGCACCGCCTGCGTCGTATTGAAGGGCTTCGGTAGACCAGCACACGTTGGCGATATCACGCCATCTGAGGATCATCGACAACTGTCCGTGCCCTCGCGGTCTGGACGCCCCAAGTCACCCCAGGGTTGCGAAGGTAATCGCGCTTGGGGCATCGCGGGAAGGGACAGAGGCGCCCATCTTCAGGCGACTCACATACCGTAGGTTCGGGTCGTGTCGACCGGCGGCGACATCCGCCGCCGCCGGCGTTCAACGTTGAACCCCGTAAGCGACCCAGAATCGGTCGAAGTTGAACGATCTAACGTTTCGGAAACGGCCGATCGTTCAAGGTTGAACGATCCCCCGCGGTGTCGGGAGCCAACGCCGAAGTCGGCACGACACGAACCCGTGGTGGATGCCAAGACGCGACTCCCGTGGGTGCGCCTCGGGCGGGGCGCCCGCGCAGCGCCGCCCCGTGTCCACGGCGGTGTCCCTTCCCGGGGGGGTCTGGACCGCGAGGCCGTCCGCCGCTGCCGTCGGTCGTCGGTCGTCGTCGTCGTCGGTCGTCGTCGTCGTCGTCGGTCGTCGTCGTCGTCGTCGTCGTTGTCGTCGTGGACGCGTGGACGTAATTACTCTCCCGCCCCGCAAGGCCAGCCAGGGCCAGGCGCGGTCCCTGATCGGGTCCACGGCGGTCCCCGCGCGGGCAGAAAGCTCGGGTCGGACGGAAGGGCCGGGGGTGGCGGGGCTCACTTCGACCCCGCCGAGTCGATTCGATTCGACTTCGGATTCTGCTTTGGGTTTCCGTTTCTCGATGGCGGCTTTACTAGCATGCCTATTTCCGCCGATTCGACTTCTCCCGACTTGAGTGCCGATTTCCGCCG